GTTGATTTAGATTTACTTGCTAAGCTTGCCTGTTCTGCCTGATTGTATCTACCACACATGGATGATTAACCTAGTTGAAATGTTAAGAATTGAAGTGCTGTAAACCTCCTTCCTGGACCCTGGACCCCTGACTCAGTTGATTTACAATGTGTCCTGTAGGCCTGTTTGCACATACCAGATAACCGATAAGGAACAAAAGAGGGAAGTTGCACCAGGCTGTCACCAGATCTACCCTTCCTGGAAAAGACATTTAACCGAAACTATAGCTTTTAGAAGATGTTTGATCAAAGTGTTTGCTGAGGAATGCTTTTTGTGTAATGACTATGTGGGCCTATATAATCTGTACCTGAAACTGAATGGGAGTCGATCGTTCTGACCAGACCTGTGTGTCTTGGGAAGCCGGTCGGCCCCAGCTAGCTGGAAAAGGAAAGGCTCTGCTTGATTTTTACATCTCCAATCCCGTGTATTTGTTATCTGGAGGGGACCCATCGAGTCACGGACCCTAACAGTGTGACTTATGAACTAAAGTACCAACAGTAGTCACAGGACAGAGGGGTAAGTGTGCCTTCTGTGATACTGCCCTCATTCTCCATTTCTGGGTCACAGAAGGAATGTGAAAAGTGAGAAGATACTTTTACGATGTTTCAATTCCCACAGTCAAACTGCCCAAGCCATGCCTGGACCAGTGACAAGAGGAATATGCATATATCTGCTCCCTCTTCTCCCTAGATGCACACACTTAGAAATTTCCCCCAAGAATGATGGCCAGACTTCTCTAACTCCCCTGGCCCCCAGAGACATCCATTCTACTCTTATGGATCCTCCATCTACTCAAAAACAGGAGGAAGAATTTGGAGCTGAATATGGTGGCACAGGCCTAAGATCCCAGCAACTTGAAATCCTGAGGTAGGATTCAAGTTCAAGAACAGCCCAGGCAATACAGTAAGACCCTTAAGAAAATTTTAAAAGGGCTGAGGGGAGTAGAGAGAGCTAGGGCACTATCTCAGTCAGTATTAGAATCCTTATCTCTCACATAAGCGTGAGGACTTCAGCTCAATTCCTGGAACCTTCATAAAAATGCTGGGCTAGGCATGGTGGTACATGCTTGTTATCCCAATGCTTGGGAAGGCAAAGACAGGAAGATCCATGGGGCTTGGTGGCCAGCCTAATCTAGTTGGTCTAGTCTAATTGGTAAGCCTCAACACAATGAGAGACTGTCTCAAAGAAGATGATGGTATTCCAGGGATGGAACCCAAGTTATCCTTTGGCCTCCACATGTACACATGTGCTGGTACACACATGTGCAACCACACATACATATACACATGAATATGCAAACATACACATGGATTTTTTTTTTTTAAGGTATGGGTTGTACCTGGATAGTAAAGCACTTGCCTAGCATGCCTAAGGCCTAGGTTTAAACCCCAGTACCACAAAAATTAATTTAGATTTAAGGACTAGAAATATCTATTACCTACCACACTTCCAGACATATCCCATTGGGAAAGCCTCTGGACCACAAAAGCAGAGGCAGAGAAAGTATCCGCTAAGCACACAACATTAACACCTTTTATTTCTACATTTCTGAAAAGCAACAGACAGTAAGAAAGCATGTTCTTCAAATCTCAACAGCTGGATAGCCGCTTAGATGGAGATAAGTCCTCCCTGCTCATTTCCACTGGGAGGGAAAGTGGTCCTCTGTTCATCTCCCACCTGACATTCTCCCACAGTCCATGTGGGACACACCTCTGGAGAGGCATACAGGATGACAGCAAAATGATCTACAGTCCTGCTCCCCATATGTCACACTCCTAGCCAAACTTTCTGCAGGTACCAAATCTGGACATCCAGTTTCAGAACAGAGATGAATATGAGGACACTTCAGCCTCTGGTTTCAGAGAAATCACTGGCCAAGTCAGATGGGGAGGAGAACAGGCCAATGAGGCAGCTACCAACACTAACCTGCATTTTCCAAACTGAATCACAACAGGGAAGGGGTTTTGTTTTGTTGTTGTTATTTGTTTGGGTTTTTATTTTTTTGCTTTTGCTTTACATATTACAGTGCTGTCTAATGGAAGAGGAGGAACAAAGCCAAACGTCCCACTGCTCCCGGCACTGGTGGCCAATGAATAGGAATGTATTTTTAGTCAGTAGAGCAAGGGGTAATTCAAAGAGCCATAGGCCCAGGGGGCCTGCTGGGCCCTCATGCCACTGGCATAGGAGGCTCAGAATCACCAGCAAGGGCATTTCATCCAGGCTCAGTTCCACCTGTCTTGAACGAAGAAGGCTTTCAGGAAGCCACTCCTTTCTGGATTCCTCCTTACCAAATAAGGAACAAAGGAATGAAAACCAGCCCTCTTTGCCCTTTAATGAATGGGTGAGGCCAGGGACCTTGTTAAATACAGCTTCCAATGGCTGCAGCCTGAGATCCTGCATTTTTCTCCTGGAACCCACAGGACACACTGCTAGTCTGCAACCTGGGCTTCCAGCAGCCACAAGTTACAAGCATCTTCAAGTGCTGTACTTCATGGACACACAAGGGATTATCACATCCCTAATTAGCCTCACATAAGGCTAACTGACTTAATTTAGCCAGCAATTAAACACTTTCCAGATTCTGTGCACAAAGGCCAAGTAGGTACAAAAAGAAAGCCAGACCTCTGCCTATCCATCAAGAGCCACAGCTTCATGCCAGCACTTCACAGAACAAGGGCTGACTCACAAATCCTGTGGCCCTGAAGGTGTGAGCTCACCAAGGCCCATAGAGCTGTGACAACTGGCCACCAGCCAGAAGCAGTGGCCATGCATCTGGTCCCAAGGGATAACAAATGCTACATGTCTGTTCCACTCCCCTCCAGCCCTTGCCTCACTCTCCCCATGTATAAACGGGTAAGGAACACAGTTTGTGAATGAGAAAAACAAGGTTCTGAGAGAGAATGTTGTTTGTCCAGGACACAGAGTAAGCCACAATTCTGGTCCCCAGGCTCTCCTACAAATGTACCAGGCCTTAGAACCGGTTAAGCCCCAAGGGGTAGCTCACAAGACATAGCACCCCTGAATACAGGGCCTGTGGCCATCCAGAATCAAATCTTCAAACTACACCAGCAATCTCATTAATAATACCTTTCTGCTAAGTCCCTTGTGTTGAGAAAAAGATGTATAAGATAAGCCAATAAATTATAAAACCAACAAAATCAAAATGAAGATATGCAGAGCTACAATAGAGATGGGAAATTCCACATAAAGGTGTTCTGGTAGGGAAGTTGTCAATAAAACCTGGTGGTAAGCATCACTGCATTGGGGCTTATCTGGACAGACCACAGAGAGTACCGAAAACCAGCGGCACTTCCACCTGACGTTACAGGAATGGAGCAAGGCCAGGTGCTTAATCCCTAGGAAAGGCTAGAAGCAGCTCAAATGGTAACACCCTTGAAACTTCTTCCTTCCTTTCTTTTTTGGTTAAGACCCTATATGCCCTTTCTCATTTTCAGTGTTTTGTCTACAGTAACACATTAGTGTTATGGTTTAAATTTGAAATGTCCCCCAAAGACTCATGTTTTGAGCCCTTATTCCCTGGCTGATGGTATTGTTTGGGGGAGGTGGTGGAACTCTTAAAAGTTGGGGCCTGGCTAGTTTTTCAATACCAGTCTGCCTTGTTCAAGCCTGTTCTCTGTTTCCTGGTCTGTTACACATAAACAGCCCCAGAAGAAAGCTTCCACTGTAATGGATTACCTCCCTATGATACTACCCCAACTCCCTATGATGGACTGCGACCTTCTGAAACCCTGAGCCAAAATCAGTCTTTTCTCACATAAGTTGTGTCTGTCAGGTACTTTGTCAAAGTGATACACAAGTTACTAATACACGTAAACTTTATTTCATCTAACACTTGACAGTGACAACTATTTCCTCAATAGTCTGATGATTCCAGAGGCCTGTGGGCACTTTGTTTGGTTTTTTAACGTCATTAAAGTAAACATGGGTTTACCACAATCCACAGGCACAAAGAAGAGCTTGGTATCTTATAGTTCACATAGCCATTTTCGACTCTAGTATATCCATCAAGTTGGAGCTTAACCACTAACAGCAAGAAATCTAGTTCCTTATCCCCTCTGGGCAGGAACAACAACAAAATGATCTAATTTTCCCCAAATTAGAAATGAGGCAAAACTTCCAGCTTTTAAATCTACAAACCTCAAAACAGAAAAATAAAGTATTTGCTATGATCATTAGGCAACATAAATAAAGGCTATTTTTTTTTTTTTAACCAAAAGGCACATGAACATACATGCCCTTGCCACCAAGTGTCAGCAACCACCATGGCCCCACCACACAGCCCAGGGTCCCCTGATGGCACCACTTACAAAAAGAGAGAGACGACCTGTGTTGAGGCGGCACCCAAGGATGGTATAGTTGTCAGCTCATTATTATTGAGGTACCTGCAACACAAGAAGCAATTCATGTTAACTTAGCAGTTGGAAATCACACACAAGGCAAATTTAAAAGAAAAAAAAAAGAAAATCACTGCTATAGTTAGCCATAGTAAGGCTATAATGAAATGGCAGATGAAGGATAAAGAATTTAAACATCAGTGACATGAGGTTTTGACATGAGGTCAAAAAGCTAACCACTTATCACACCCCTGATTAGAAATAAGCACAAGGGGGAATGTTCTCTGGCTTCCCATAAAACTCCAAAATCAGATTAATAAACAGCGAGAGCAGGCCCAGATGTAGGTCTCAGTCAAATGTGTCCCAGGACCATCAATAAGAATGCTCTTGGTGGACAAAAGGGGCATAAAAGGATCTGGGGGACAGGGACAACAGTTACCCTGCCAAGGTCAACACAAGAACAGGCTGAAGCCTACTCGCTCACAGGCTTGTGTTTTGGGGCATTTCAATATGCCTCCTCTGAAACAGCAAGGGGGCTGGACTCTGACACCCTTACCTATGTAAGGTTCCAGCCTCTCTGAACTCTGATGAAGACCCTTAGTGACTTCCAAGAAAACAAACAAATATACCCTGCTTCTGCACACAGACATTGTGAAACTCCTCTATAAACAAGATTGATCTCCAGGCTCTTGTCCCACTAGCGCATTCTAAATCTAGATCTCCACAGCTAGCATCTCTTGATGGAAGGTGCAGCCCATGACCCAAAGCACAGCCTAATAGTATGTCTAGTCTGTCCCCCAGAGGCTGTGCAGTCTGGCCTCCTCACATGGGAACACGTTTCCAAATCTGGAAAGAGAATCCCAAGTCAGACTTGCAATTCAAGTCCCCCAAAACCTTAAGAACACCAAGGCACAATGTTCAGGCTTTCTCAGGGTAGTGGGTTATAAAGAAATTGTATTTGAGATGAGAGGTCAAGGGGATAAAAATGGATTATCTTGTTCTCAATTTTTAAGGAGGTATATCTTACACAAAGCATCTTACTGCTATTTGAAGACAAGGTTACTGAATGACAGCTGTATTCAAGCAAGTATACAACTTGCATTTGCTGGAATAATTTGGTTGTCTGCCACCCTTTCAGAAATGAATAGAAGTTTAAAAAAAGGAAAGGAAAGGCCTTGAATTATCCCATTTGCTCTCTTCAGTGCCAAAGCCAGTTAAGGATGAAGCTTGGCAGTTACTAGACTGTGGGACACAGAATGCCTGTTTCTATAGCTCCATGACTGAAGCATCTGGCAGAGAGAAAGCAGATCTGTATCACGTGGCAAATCCTTTCCCCACTTAAAGAGCCCTTGTTTGTCTGTGGAAATAGGCAATTAATTACTTTACCAGCCTCTTATCTGACTGCCCCTTAAATCACAGTTTCTGCTTCAGCTTTATCTCCTCCAGCCCTGCCACTTCTCATCATGGTGTGGAGGTGTTGAAAAGTCTCCATCAGTCCTAATCTTAACCAATAAATTCTCATAGTGCCCATCAATGTGCTGATTAGTAGAAGGGACCCTCACATTTTATCAGAGCAAGAAAGACTAATGTCAGAGGTCTGCTGCCAATCAGGCAGCTTGCTAAGAACACTTCACTCCTTAAGATTTATTGGAAAACAGAGGGTGGTAGTGGTAATAACAGCAGATAACTTACTGAAGGCTTACTATGAGGCAGACACAGCTCCAAGCTTTTCAGTGCATTAACTCATCTTTAGACACCTAGAAGTAGGTCCCAGAACATTCCAGTACACCAATGAAACCACTGAAACACTGAAGTGTTAAGTAACTGGACCAAGGTCATCAGCTACTTAATAAGTGGCTGTGGCCCAAGGAGTCAAGCCCTACAGACTAGCTTCCTAACTACTACTCTCTGTTTCTTTGGAATTACAGCTCAAACTCCATATGCATTATGTAATTTCTTTCTTTTTTTTTTGGTCTTTTTTGAGACAGGGTCTCCCTGCTGTAGCCCCAGCTGGCCTGGAACTCACTATGTAGACTAGGCTGGCCTTGAACTCACAGAGATCTGCCTGCCTCTGCCTAGGATTAAAAGCATGTGTCACCATGCCTGGCTTGCATTATGTAATTTAATTATCACAAAACTCTTATTTAAATACCAGGAACTACATTTCCCTATGTTATAGTATGTTCTGGAAGCCAGAACAGTCAGGAGTCACAGTCAGGAGCTGAACCAAGGAGGACTGTAAATCAGAAAAGAGCAACAAGCTAACAGGCCAATAGGCATAAGATAGGCCAGTCCGTTAGGTGACACTGAAGCCATTTTCCTGTCTGTTTACTTTCTAACTTGACTCTGAACCTGTAACACAAAGTAGGGGCTTCTCTGCAGAGGACTCTAGCTGATATACCTGGTGTCAGCCAGCCCCACTGTACATTGTTCCACTTCACATCACAGAAATAAATGAGCAAGAAAGGGGACAGCCCTTCAAATCTTCTCAGGCGTGCTGGAAGTTCATTATGCAGGGACTTTAGACCAAGCTAAAGATTAATAGGGAATTGTATGTCTTGATGTAATGCGTAGTCCCCAGTCAACAGGCTCAGTCAGAAATAGCAGGCTCTAATTTCAAGAGGGCTACCTAACTTGTGGAGAGGACAGATGGAACCCACAGGAGAAGATCTGCATGTTTAGCTTACTTTTCAGATTAGTTGTACTTAAACAAAAGAAGAACTGTTGGTTCAATGTTAAGCACTAACTCCACCACTTTTGGCTCCCCAGTTGTTCACCCTATTAAAGAGAATGCGATCCTCAGAAAGCAAAAGAGCCAAACTCAGTGAGACATGAAGATCTGCTTGCCAGACTGAAATAGAGACTGGTCAAAAATAGCACTGCTGGAGTCGTTGAGGGAAAAGGCACTCCGGATGTTTAGCAAGTCTCCATGAATACAGAAATTTCAGGGATTAAGGATACTGTGTGATGAAATACTTTCACTACCTATGGTTTGTGGTCTTCTACTCCCATGGCCTGTGCCCAAGCATGCCCTCAGCTGATCCTCCCTCCACCCTGCAAAATTTACTTCCACTCAATGCCCTAAAAATCTTCCTAAAACACCTGGCCTCTATGAACTTTTTTCCTGATGATTCAGGACCAAGAAGTGCCTGTAATGCATCAGACCATGAATCATGGCCTGATCCCACAGAAATATGGATAGCAGTTAAGAAGACCATGAATCATGGCCCAGCCCTGGAACTGGAGGATGTGCAAGTAAGATCAATGGGCTCCATAGATGGCCTGACCCCAGGGCAAAACCTGGAGCTGAGACCCTTCCCACTCAACCTCCACTGTCAGCTGGGACTTTCTGGTCTTTCACCTTTCTCTAAAAGCTTCCACCTATAAGTAGCTTAGTTAAAATAAGTATTACATGTTTTAAGAGGCAAATACTATAAAGGATAGTTCACAGTACATCATCATCATTTATTAACTTAATCAAATTTGGCTTTGTAAATAGTATAAAACCCACCCAAGGAGTAATTTGTTTCAGTGGGGTTTTCTTGCCTTATTTATTTACAAATAGCTGAAATAGGCACACATTAAGAATTTCAAACCACTTCAAAAAAGAATACAAGGAGTATTCAGTGAAAAATATAGCTTCCTTACACTTCAAGGCTCCTGGGCTGCCTCTAAGAGGAAGCTCCTGCTGCCAGCCATGCATGTTTTTGCTTTACAGATACTTATATTTTATACAGACTGTTCTATACTGCTTATCCCCCTTAGTGCTGCATCTTGAAGATGTTCTTCTGACCAGCTGCAGAGAATTCTCTTGCTGCTATGAATGGTTAAGAACGAAACATTTTATTTACTGATTTATTTAGTCAATTGGCTCTTGGTAGACAGAGTGGCTGCTCTGGGTTGCTTCCAAACAAAGATGGAGCTGCAGTTAAAAAGAATCAGGCTGGGCAGTAGGTTGGAGCTTTGGTTGCATTCATTTCCTATAAGGAGAAACCCATCAGAATAGCAGTTAAGACAACACATTTTGAAATCAGGATCACTTAATTAATGCTGGAGAGTAATACAGACTGAAGAATTGCTTCGACCAGACTACAATATATGATTTCTACCCCAGCTGGTCAGATAAAACTATTTTAGTATAATGAGACAGAATATCCTGCCTTGGTATCCACTCAGGTTTGGTCCAAGACACCCTGCAAATAGCAGAGTCTGCTTGAATTCTTCACAGAAATATGAATAGTGCCTGTATAAAACCTGCATGTGCTCCCCTGTGAGCTTTAAACCAACCCCAGATTATTCAACATACCTAATACAATGTAAATGCTATGTGAACAGTCATACTGAATTGTAAGAGGCATAAATACAAGAAAAAAGCCTGTATATGTTCCAAATAGATACAGTTTTTTCTAATATTATCAACTACAGGTTGGTTGAATTCATAGATGCTAAATTCATGCTTATGAAGAGCCAACTGTAGTTACTTTGATAATCACATATAGTAAGAAGGGTGAACACTATTGTGGCTAGCTGTCCTAAGCCTGAATGACACAGCAACCCTTTCAGGAAGTCAGACAACATGAATTTTTAAATCTCAGAGGCTTGGTCTTCTAACCCTTACCAATCAAACAACCTTCAGCATTCCACTTAACCTTGCTATGTCTCAGTTTCCTCCTTCAAGAAATATAAATAAAGGCACCAGCTTCACTAGGTCCTGGCAGGATCTGAGTGAAATGAACCTAAGAACTCAGATATGAAGAGATTCTTGGGAAATACTTAGCAGGTAGTATCAACAGCCAAAAAAAGGTGCCTCAAAACATTCCTAGATTTCAGTCTTTACATATTACAACCACCATAATCCCTACACCTGTGTGTGCACATCCAAGTACATACATGCACATGCACCTAGGAGGTGGGAGAGGACAGAGCAGAACTAAGCCATAAAGGCAGGGTTTCCTTGCCCTCTGGGAAGCATTTAAGACAGTGGCAGCATTACAGCAAGCACTCCCAGGCCACCAGCAGTAATGTGATCCAAGTGCGTTTTCACAGAGGGCTGTATAAATAGTCTTCTTATTATAGAGGACTTGGTGTCCAGCACTCGAAGTGGAGGCACTCCCTGGTGGGCTTTCCTCAGGGCTGTGGGCAGTGAAGACCGTGTGGCTTGGAAGCAGCTGTACGAATGTCTCTTTGTCTTTCAAGGGCCTCCAAAGGGCTTGTTTTCTCTCTCATCAACCCACAATGTTATGTGGTTCCAGGGCCTCCAGGATGAAACCACTGCTAAGCCATCCACGGTTCTGTGAACTGACGGCTCCTGGGAAATACTTGAGCCTGGTTAACCTGGAAGCACTGGGGTATGTGTGGAATGTAGGTTTTTTTGTTTGTTTTTCTTTTCTTCCATATTCGTACCTATCCTCCTCACCATTCATCCTAGATTCCTCTTTGAGTCACTAAGTTACTGGAATTCCCTGAGGGAAAGCCTCAGTTCTCTATCAGTGAATTCTGCTGCTCTGGACACCATGAATTCAACTTACCATCCACACGGTAGGGAACATCAGGGATAGGAGTCAGTCACAATGGCAAAAAAGTTCAATCTGTCAGCCCCCAAGGATGTATTTCTAAAGCAAGACCTTTAGTATGGGGGCTGCCGAGTTCCAATAGCAGAAGAGAACCATGCATCATCTTCAACTAGTAACTACAACAGTGCAGTGACATCAGAGAGAAAGGAATATGGAGGAAGGAAAGTCACTGATTCAGGAACACTGATCCAGAACCTCAAACCTAGCTCTGCTTGCTATCAAAGCAAGCACTTCCCCACCATGGTGATCTCTGTACCTGTAACTCCCCACCCTCCTGTGACTGTGTAGCCACAAGAGCATGGGGGGTGTGGCAAGGCCTCTTCTGCCTCTTACTAACTGTGGAGCACAAACTCTCAAGAAGCCTGGAGTGGATGGAGGCTTACAGTCAGAGGTTAAGGGAAGGAAACCAATGAAAGTAGAAAGCCTCTATGAGCAATGAACAGGGAGCTGGAGAGATGAACAAAGAAATGTTCTCTGGAGCTCCTACTGCCATGTCTGAATGGCAGGATAAAGAAAATATTGACAATTTAAAAAGAAAACACCAAAATAAATGCAACACAGAAGCATTTATCAAAATGCCCATTACCTTGATTAGTAAGTCAGGGTGCCCTTGTAACATCTGCGCCTGTGGACAGGCCCTTACTTGCCTCATCCTAGTCCTAGACCCTTTTTCGGTGTTTCATTTGATCCACAACAGCATCCGGCACAGAGCAGACACTCAAATAAATGTAAACGAAAGGCTAACTGATGCCACAGGAAATACCACCAATTTAATTTTGCCTAATTCAATCTCTGAAACTCACAAGGAATATACAATAACCTTAAGTGTCAACAACATCCTGGATCAAAGGAATGTACTGGATTACAAAGCCAACTGGCTCCTGATAGATGGAGTTTATCAGTTTAGGTGACTATGACTGGCTGAATTGTGCCACCCCCACACCCCCCCCACACCCCCCTGCCCGGCTTAAGTATATTGAAGCCGAAACCTCCAGTACATCAGCATATATTTACAAATAGAGACTTTAAAGAGGGTATTAAGGGGACTGACACCTTAGCTCAGTGGTAGAGTGCTTGGCTAGCATGGTCAAGGCCCTGGGTTCAGCTCCAGCATGGGCGCAGGCAGGTATCATTAAGGATAAATGAGCTCATATGGATGGGCCCTAAGTGAATGTGACTGGTATCAGTGTAAGAGGAAATCAGAACACACAAAGGAAACAAAGGATCTGAGTACACAGAGAGACCACATGAAAGCACAGCAAGAGGCAGCCATCTGTAGGACAAAGAAAAGGGCCTCAGGAGAAGACAGCTCTACAGGCCTCTGGCCCCCCTGAGCCCTGTTGTTGAAGACATCAGCCCGTGGGGTTTGTTCCTGAAGTTTGGCCCTTTCTTTACACCCTCTTTTCCCTACCCCTAGCTTACTGACCCCATGGGCAAAAGAGGGTCCTGGTCAAGGAATTTTCAGAGCTCCTTGCAACTCTGAAGTACCTTTAACTTTGGAAGTCTGCACTTTTAAAAGACAGGCACAAAAATCATAAAATTTGGAGATGAGGGTAGGGAGTGCAGCTATTTTAAAAACTGTATTAGTTGACAAAGTTAAACTTTCCTTGAATAACCTATAATGATGGGATAAAAGAATAACCACCAAGGACATCTATCAGTTACTTGTAGCAAAAATGTATAAAGAACTTAATAATCTCTAATAAAATCTCTAATAATAGCACTTAGTGAACAATTTTCTGAAACTCATGTGTAGTAGTTTTATATAATTCAAATAGGGCATTCAAGTTTTTTTAATTTACATAACAAAGTATTTTTAAATGTGAGGATGAATAAGTAAGACAGTTATAAAATCCTAAGACCAGACATAATAGCAAACACCTATAATCTCAGCAGTCAGGAGGCTAAGTCAGGAGGACCTTGACTCTTGAGGCCAGCCTGAGCAACAAAGTAAAACCCTGTCTTAAAAAGGGAAGTCGGGCTGGACAGGTGGCTCAGCAATTAAGAGCACTGGTTGCTCTTGCAGAGGACCCAGGTTCAATTCCCAGCAACCACATGGCAGCTAACAACCGTCCGTTAACTCCACTTCCAGGAGATCCGATGTCCTCTTCGGACCTCCTCAGACACTGCACAACATGGGTGCACTTACACACATGCAGGCAATAACTCATATATATAAAATAAGAATAATTTTTTTTAAAAAAGGAAAATCACAATATACACTTTGAGTCTAAAATTATGTCCATACAGGTGAGTACTTTTCAGCACACAAATTGCTATGGGGCTAAAATTCCCAATAATCCTAATGTGTGTGTCAAAGCAGAATTCTTTGCACTAAAAAGAATGTGAGGCCTTCGTCCAAGGACAAGCAGCAACAAACTCAAGAGGTCAAAGCGTGCTTGGCTCTGCTGTGGGGGAGAGGGAAGGTGGGCCTCCGCTGCCCATTCTTTTGTGCCTGCTTCCTGGGAACCACAAAGGGTGAGCTGGTACCAGGTACCACTGCTGACTAAGCTGCTCTACCTCTGTGGACTTATGAAAAAGCAGCAGCACAGCTATGTTGTCCCAATTAGTGCAGAGGAATTCCCATCAGGAGAGGGCACTCTCCTACATACCCACCCAGCACCCATGGTTTCCAGTACTCCATGCCTGCTGCACTGTGACATGCCCTTCACAGAAGAGAGGGGCTACAGCAGAGCAATGAGGTCAATATGGTACCCCTTTCTCCATGAAGGCTACACTCCCAGATCCCAGGGATACCTGAAGTCCAAAAATGCACTGTTTCCCCTGACCCACCCACCCCCCCCAACACACACAGACCTATGGTAAGGATTAATTTATAAATCAGGCAGAGCAAGAGATTAACAAATAACTATAAGAACACTTAGATAATTTGTGTAAAAGCACTTTCAACTTTTCACTTAAAGGAACAACTTCACAGCTTCTCTTTGGCATATCCAAATTGTCAACATCACTGAATCTATGCTCCGGGCCATTACTGGGTAAAACCGATGTTACTTCAACACAAGCACCACAATTCCATGGCTGTCAATCTGACAATTAAGGTACTAACTAAAGAACAAGCACGCTGCATAGATAGCATGCATAGTCTAGACAAAGGGATGACTTGTGACCTGGGAAAACAATGTGTAAGATTCCGTCATAATAATAATGTTCAATGTAAGCTTGTGAATTGCTTATTTCTGGAATTTTCCACTTAATATTCTTGGTTGGCTGAGGGTCACTGAAACCATAGATGAGAACGGATGGCTACAGTTCCATTTGTAGTAAAGACCCATATGCAAATACATGTTCCTACCCATAATCTCGGACCACCCACTTAGGAGAGTAAGAATACTGCAAAAAGAAAGGATTTTCCCCAAGACTCATCTACCCTTCCAACCCTCGAGGTTTGGGGAAGGGGGCACTCACACTTCCTGCAGAGTTGTCAAATCCTCAAAACCAGCAGAGTCAACCTCGGAAAGTTTATTATAACTCAGGTTTCTGGTAAAAACAAAAGGAGAGAAAAAGAGAGACAATAAATCAATACTTGACATTGTATCCAATATTAAGAAATCTTTCCCCACTAAGTTCCTCCAAAAAAACTCCAATCTTTCCCAATAATTTCCCATCTTTTGCATTGTTTTAAGTACAGAAGAGTGAGATTTACAGACACACCTTTCTTCACCTGCATCAAAATGGTCAGAGCGAAGCAGTAAATGCACACCACACACCACCTGAGTGGGCTGAACGCAAGTGATTTCAGTCAATACTATTTGACTACCTAGGAACTTTTCAAAACAGCTAAGGTGAGCTAGTCCTGTTACACTGAAGTTCCTAGTCCAATGCTCTGCCCCACATCAAGTTCACACTCATTCTTTTTTTAATTTTGAAAATTATTCATTTATGTTTATTTTTAAATATTTTATTTATCATTTTAATTTTATGAGTATGAGTGTTTTACAGCATGTATGTAAGTGTACCTGTGTTGTGTAATGGCCAAGCAGAGGCCAGAAGAAGGTGAAAGATCCCCTGGAACTAGAGTTACAGGCAATTGTTAGCTCCCGCGTGGGTACCAGGAAACAAACCCGGGTCCTCTGGAAGAACAGTTGTTCTTAACTGTTGAGTCATCCCTCCAGGCCCTGTTTGTTTATGTGTACATGTGTGTGCAGGTCAGAGTACAGTTTGTGGGAGTCAGTTCTCTCCTTCCACCATGTGATTCTCAGGAATTGAACTTGGGTTGTCAAGCTTTGTGGCAGGTACCTTTTTACCTGCTAAGCCATCTAGTAGGTCCCCAAGGCCATTCTTGTGTGTGTGTGTGTGTGTGTGTGTGTGTGTATGTGTGTGTAAGAAAACGATTTATTTATTTGGGGATGGAGAGATGGCTCAGTGGTTAAGAGCACTGGCTATTCTTGCAGAGGTCCTGGGTTCGATTCTCAGAACCCATATGGCAGCTAACAACTGTCCTTAACTCCAGTTCCAGGGGAATCCAATACCTTCCAACCTCCTCGGGCATACATGACACAGATGTACTTATACACATGTTGGAATATACTCATACACATAAAATAAAATGTGGTTTTTTTTAAAGATTCATTTATTTAAACTCTTTTATATGTATGACTTTTGTGCCTATGTGTAAGCACACCACATGAATACAGTGCCTACTAAGGCCAGAAAAGGGCATCGAGTTCTCTAAAACTGGAGTTACAGTTGTAGACCACCATGTGGGTGCTGGGAACTTTACTAGCTGAGGCATCTCTCCAGCACCCCCGCCCCATTCTTAATGGCTTCTTTTTTAATTGATGTTTTACTAAAGCATCAACATCAAAAAGTAAAGAAACAGAGAAGGGCATATCAGCCCTTCATAGTCTAAGCCAGTGGTTCTCAACCAGGATTTACATACACACACACACACACACACACACACACACACACACACACACAGTCATTTGACAATGTCTTAGAGATATGTTTAGTTCTCAACACTGGTGGAAAGGTGGCACCGAAGTCTGTGAGTAAAAGCTACAGATAGGATCCCACCATGTACAGGTAGGTAGTCAGCATCCCCAATAGGGCATCTGGTCCTCAGGGTCAATACTAGCCAAAGACTGAGAAATCTTAGTCTAAACAAGACTAAAGATTGTTCAGATGATAGTCAAAGTTCAAGTGACTGTTTAGAAAATTAACACTGAAAGATTCAAAATTATGAGACCACCTATGAACACAGTATGCCTACCATCCATGAAATTGTATTAGGAATGGCAACCACAAGACAAAGGAATCGACTGGTAGAGATCTGTGTTGATAGTAACCCTAGGAGGGAAAGCCTCCTGTGAATAGTCGTCAGGTAGCAGCACTGTCTTGTTCAGAATTAGACCTCTCACCTTTCCATCATCTAGCTCTAGCTCTAGTCACACACAGAGCATGCCAGGCAATGTTCAGTCAGCTGAGCTTGGCTAACCGCAGGCTCAGCACAAGGCACCTTAATCTGTCACGAACAGAAGTCACTACAAGTGATCCAAATGAGCTTTTACTGTCATCTAGTTCCCTGCCACAGAAGTCGACCTAGCCTTGCGTGCACAGAAGAGGTTAACATTTTTCACCTTGGCTATTAATTCCATTGACATTACTAACAATTAACAATATTGCTAATCTTGAACTTAAAGTCTGTCTCTTAAAGAGTTGCATAAATGGCAACTATCTTTTAAACTTACTCCAGAGACATTTCAATCAATACTAACCTAGAGCTGATAGTCATTTCACTGTGAACTCAGACATTCATCTAAATAAAAGTCAAACTGCACTTGAAACTAATGGTCCATCTGTATTCATGGCACAGTCTGAATTAAAAGCAATTTGTTCAGAGATTAAGTTACCATAAAGATTGAAGGTGATAATTTTTAAACCACATACTGAAGTCAAGTATGAGCTTGCCTGTGCTTAGGGGTTATTTATTAATGGGTATGTAGACACCAACAGCTTAGACCTGGAAATGAAAACCTAGTTTTAGAGAATTCCCTACATCAGAAGAAGGACTGGATAGGTGCTTTTTTTTCTTTCTATTTTTCCTATTTTGAGCAGATTATCATAAAGAGTGTGGGGATATTGTCTGAGGGGTAAAAACAGAAGACAGCGAGAGCTTTCATCACTACAGGTGATGAGCAATGTGAGCTGGAGGAGACTTTAGCAAAGATTCTAGAAGGACAAATTGATCAGGTGGACCAAAACTGATGTGGGAACCCCCGACCCACCATTTGGGCTTTTGCTCCTTTGCTCCAGAAACAAGGGCCAGTGCTGATGGTGACCTCAGCTTTACAGAGAAGCTCAAAATTTTAATTCTTATGGGAAATATTTTCAATTCCTTTAAAAAAAAAAAAAGTAACCAAGGATGGGCCAAGCAAGACCTCTCTGCCAGCCACATCTGGCCTGAGGAATACTGGCTTTTGCTGGGATCTGGGCTGCTGGTTCTAGAAGTGACAGCTTCAGAAATGACTGGCTTGTCTCTGGCTGCACATGTGGCCCAAGAAACGGCTAGTGCTCACCAGGTCTTCTTCTGTTAACTGATGGTTCCATTCTGAGTTCTCTGAGATGAAATGCTTTCTTTTTCTACCCCTCAAGTGTCCATTTAAAGCCATACCATACATCCATGCTTCATCTTTCCAAGACAGGACAGACAACATGTGAATTTCAGGATGCTGTCTAAGTTCTGCTTCTTGGAGCAGGCTATTGAAGTAAATGCTCTTCTCTGCCCTACAATTATCCTGAGCCCTAGGAGTATCAGGACTTGATACTGAGATGACAGCAAACAGCTACTCTCCACTTCAATGAGTGCCCTCACAGGGTCAGCGTGGATGTGGTAATTTCTAAATATCACTGAACTAGAAAAGCTGCAGATCCACACAGGCGTCAGGAGACTGCCTGGAAAGGGACCATTCTCCATAGCACCTGTAGCAGCACAGAGAGCAGGTACTATGGCTCGCATCCCTCAGAACAGTTTCTGTCCCTGGACACAGAGCTGCCTGGCTTTTGAGAAGTGGTCCTAGACCCTGAACAAACTGAGACTTCAAAATCAATTTCCAGGAAAGGAGATCAACGCAGAATAAAACCCTCACAGACACTATCATATCAGCCTGCATCATTGGGGTAAAATGCATAAACATAAAATTTACCATCTTAACCATTTGCAAATGGCTGTTTGGTGGTCTCACATACACATATTCACACTGTTGTACACCATCACCACCACCTGTACCAACTTTTCAACATGCCTAAACACAAAATTCCCGCTTCCAATCTACTGAGGCTGTACCAATCACCACTCTCTTGTCTCATAAACTCGACTCTAGGAACCTCCTGTGTGTGGAAGCCTAAGATATCCATCCTTTTGTTGCCTGGCTTGTTTCACTTAAAACAATGCCTTCAAGGTTCATGGATGCATCTCACCATGCATCTGAGTTTTACATCTTGATGGCTGAATAATATTCCTTTGTATGAACATGCCACATTTTTGTATCTATTCATCTGTGGACAGACATTTGGGTTTGTTTCTAGCTTTGACTACTATTTTAAGTAAGGCTAAAATGAACAGTGGCACATTTTTTTTCAAATTGAAAAAAATTAATGAACTTTTTTTTATCTTTTGACTTCTATGCTTACCAACAAGGCTCATTTTGCAACATTTAAAAAATATACTTAGCTGAAGAAGTCGGCAGAAAAGGACATGAATTCTCATTTCACATCCCAAGAACAGTCAAAGGGTGAACCGTTGAAAAATCTTTCCTCTGGGTGGCAGCTGACACACATGCACATCTAAAGCACCTCACTTATTTCTAGGGATGGACTACCCCTTCCCAGCCTGACATCTGAATGGGTCTTCAGTGGAAGGTTTCAGAGTCTCCTGTCAAAACAATTCATCTGTCAGCAGGACAGATGATGTCAGAAGCATTTCTGCACCTTTCAGTAGCAGGAGCTGGAGAGCAAGCAACCTCAGGGAATTATTCCTGCCAACTGCAGCTCTCACTAAACATTTTGTCAGCCATTGTCATAACACACATTTTCCCTGTTCCTGCACAAAGAGTGTGCAGATCTTCCAACAATTGAGCCTAGATATTCTTTCAGCTAATCTGTTGAAAGATGACCGTGCGGCCCACCATTTGCAGAACACACAAGAGGCAGAGCTGCAGAGAACAGCTCAAGTTTTATCCAGGCATGTCTGAAAAGCAAGCTGTTTAACAGGGCACGACAACCCTGTGCTCACTAAGCATGTTTCTCCTCCCTGAGCACAAAGAATTTCAATAGCTGAGAAACCCCCACCCACAGCCATGAAAGCCCAGAGGTCGACATGCAGCTGCTTCTAGCGAAACTACTTAGTATCACATAAGATTCAGAATTCATCTTTTATCACACTGCCTGCATTTCAAGTATTCAAAATACCTGTGTGCCTAGCTGCTACGGCATTGCAGAAGAACACAGCGTACTTCTGCCATCACAGAAAGTTAAGC